ATCTGATTCATGGTTATTTATTCTCACATCTATGTTTCTGATTCAAGGTATATTTATTCTCACATAGATCTATGTTTCTGATTTATGGTTTATTATTCTCACATCTATGTTTCTGGTTTATATGGTTTATTTATTCTCACATCTATGTTCCTGATGTATGGTTTAAATCAAACCAAATCTAAGTTATGGTTTATTTTTTCCAACACTCATGTTTCTGATTTAAGGTTACTTATTCTAACATCAATGTTTCTCAGTTACGGTTACTTATTCTCACATCTATTTTTCTGCTTTATGTTTTATTTATTCTGACAATTATGTTTCAAACTTATTGTTTTATTTATTCTATACAGGAGGTGTATATACGCTGTATTAATATAAACATGATTAAAGGTACTTTCACAAATGACAATATTGAGTAAAGCTTTGTAATTCTCTGCTAAACAAATATAATGGCTCAAACACGAGTGCCATAAAATCAATTTTCAAAACATATTAGTGAAGAGAAGACAAACACGTCCTCAACAAGTTGTTGCTTGTCTTCAGAGGGGGCTAAGTTTGATAAGATACAACGCTTGGTGTTTGCGGGACAAAGAATCATCATAATATCAACCACTGTTTTGTTTGTTTGTGGTTGTTTAGAGGTTGTCTTGATTCGAGTGGAAAAGTGTTGAGTGCGGCGTAAAACAATACTAACTTCAAAAAGGCAAAGATTTGTCATTCTACTTACTTGTACACCACTGTAACACAAAAGCCATATAATGAATGACCAATGATCAGTGTCACTCGCGTCACAAAATGTTGCAAAGCTTACCTACCCGATCCTCTTGAAGTCCTCTCGGACAAAAAGCATACGTAAATGGGGTCTAGTTCTCAGACAGAATTCCCGTGAAGCTACAAACTCAACAAGCTGTAATATTTATATACAAAAATATGGTTACTTTGTCTTTTATCTTGGAAGAAGGTCAGGAAAAATATTGTTGACAAACACTTTCTGTGTCGACTTAGCTACTACACTCTACCGGCTTCGGAATCGTAGGAATAAGCATGCATAGATTACCACCGATAGTCTGTGGACGCAGTAAAGTATAACAGTCGGTTCAACACATGACAGTAATGTGCAACAATTAGTTCAACAAAAGACTCTAGTAGTGAATGAAACAGTAGACTCTAATAGTAAATGAAACAAATGATAGTGGACTCTATCAGTGAATTAAACAGTGAACAGGAGATTGTCTTGGGATTTAAGTGGACCATTTCAGATTAATGTACTCTTAAAAAAAGTAATACAAAAGTGAAATTTTCCTTATAAATTTAGATATGTGGAAACTTAGTGTTACGAACGTTGGGTATGTTGTGTTATGGAAGCTTACAAAATGCCTTATAATCGCAATAATCGTTTTGGAAATCGATGACTTTGTACACAGATGAGTAAAAGTGAAAATTACAAAAAACGCAACTGCTGTCGTTTTGCGCCACTTGCGCAAAGGCATTATATACACGTGCAAAACGCACAACAAGCACTATAAAAGTGTAGGGTTCTCGATTTTACTTCACTTTGATTAAAACTCAAAGCACAGATTTCATAATGCCAAGACTGAACGAAGCTCAGGGGAACAACGCCATCGGACGAGTGCAAGCAGGCCAGATTAGAGGTTGCAAGGTTTCTTCTGTCTCCCCTAGCACCATATCGAGGCTATGGAACCGCTACCAGCAGCAGGGATCAACACGTGACCTTCCCAGAACCGGTAGACCACGTGTCATCACTTCTGCCCAAGACCGCAACATCCGGTTGCGCCACCTATGCTGAAGGACGACAACTGCTGCCTCCACTGCATACTCAGTACCGGGACTGCGCAGGATCTGGGACCAGACTGCCCGGAACCGTCTATGAGAGGCAGGGGTGCTACAAAGAAGTCCTTTTAGAGGCGTGATTTTGTCCAGGCAGCATCACCAGCTACGACTGCAATAGTGTCGAGGACACAGGGCATGGCCTCAGGGACGAGGCTTGATAATCTAACAATCAAATATTGTAACGAAAACCTTGTAGGTAAACTGCCCATAGGAATACATCGTTCTTAAAACTGCAAGTAAGGCTTTGTTGGCCTTTATAGCAATAAAACTGCAACTCTACGAAAAAATGCATTGACTTGTAAGAACTAAACCATGATAGTTATAATTAGAAACTACAACCACATTATTTCCAATGTAGGTTCATTTTTCTATACGAGAAAATTTTCCACCTTTTCTAAAAACCATTATTTTTGTTTAGATGTATTAACGGTCAAACCCCATGACTCACAATAACTTTGGAGAATATCACGACGCTTCTGTTGACCATTTACATTTACTATCTGCAACAAGAACGTCATCTGCGAAAAGTAACAGAAAAACTTCAATGATACCAGGATACAATTTATTGAATACCTCTCATGTCTTTTAATTATTTCATTCGACAACGCATTAATGAACAAGGAAAATAGTACAGGCCTTAAGACGCAGCTTTGCCTTACTCCATTCGGACATTCAAAGAAATCTGAAAAACCTTCATTTTTCTTGACATAAGATTTAAAAACCTTATTCATACTCTTAACGCTACGAAACAACTTTCCCTTCAAACCAATTCTGCGACGAAGTAACAGCAACTTATTTCTATAACCACTATTAAAGGCCTTTTTGACATCATCAGAGGCAACATAAAGTTTACCCTTCCTCTTGGATAGATATTTTTCCACAAGTGCACACAGTGCAGAAAGATTATCAGACGTAGAATATCCGGCTCTGAACCCAGACTGAGATTCTGAAATAAGCGATTCATCATTAGCCCAGTTAGTTATTCTACTGTTAAGAATACCAATGCATACTAAAGACTGACAACAACGTTATGCCTCTGTACTTATCTGGACAATCACGAGATCCACTTTTGTGCAACGGGTCAATAATTTGATTAGGTTACTTGATGACAAGGATATACGGGTCACACAGGAAAATCAGTAGCAAAATAGGGAAGGAAGAAAAGACGAGGAAAACACACACGCCCTACAGAAGGAAAACAGACAGAAAATCGCAATGTCGCTCGATAACCCTATTTGGTATAAATTGTGTAATTAGTGTTTGAAGTAGTCCACCAGTTGATTGATACAGCAACTTGAAGAACGTAACACCATTTACTGACAGCAGGACAAACATCAGTTTAACTGATAGTCAGGAGGTATGAGTAACAAAGTTGCAATATGAGTTAGTAGTATTAATAACATTGCCATTTTGCAGTTGTGTGTTCGCCAAGGTTCCGTTACATGACGTCCTCTTAGTGTAGGAAGTTGTTGCAGTTGGTGGTCTGAACTCGCTTTGTGAGAGTAACCAAGTCTGTTTGTGTTCAAATGAGAATCAATTGAATTGTGAGTAACTCAGAATCGTTGTCCCTGCCGCTGTACCCTCCTCCGTTAGAAACATCAACTTGTGCACTTGACAATATGTCACTTTCTGAAACAGCTCTTTCCAGTGATAGGTTGGAAAATAGCAGACAGCAGATTTTGTTGAGTTTAGTCGTGTACCTCATTCACATGTAAAAAGCCTATTCCCGATTCCCGATGTGTTATTTCGCAATTCGTCATTATTTTCGGAGACAAATGATCTGGAGCGCAGGTGTTTAGTTTCTACAACAGTGAGATGGCGTTTTAGTCGATTTGAAGAATATTTCAGTATTATCAGCGTTCCAGCTTGATCTTGGAAGAAAATTGAAGAAATGTTTTTCTATGTTCACCATCATTCTCAATCCCTAATGCACGGTTATGGTATTGACAAACCTTAAAAGCATAACCGGGGTGAATACTGGATTCGAACCACGACCATATGTCATATGTATATGAAAAGAATTATGGACAGAGTAAGTGTACTGTAACGGGAGGCTTCACAGGAAGACTCGTGTCAAAACCCACGACACTGTATTGTGTATATTTGTCTTGCAGTGAGATATCGCTTTAATCACGTATGTATTTGGTATGCAAGGCCCACAATACAATATTGCTAAATTTGCACAGTGGACCCTGGTCCATTTGAATATAACAAATGTATATAAATATTAAGTATAACTTGTATATACAATGTTGAAGATACCGTTTCTGAGTGACGATGAAGGTGACGTGGTGGAATAATATTTCTGATATCTATTTCTTCAGTGAACGTACTTTCAGGAAGGAAATGTCAATAACCAGTGTGTATGCGTGTGCATGCAGGATGACCCATACTTCCTTTATCGTGTCAAACAAGTCCTCTTTTGTCCTGATGTCCACTGATGTCCGGTTTGGATTGCTCTTTTTCAGTCAAATGTTTTTAACGATGTATGAATCCGGTGACTGTGTAGGCCAAGTCAGGTAACTTTATATTGTTCTGTTCTTTGTATTCACCAACAATACGGGCCCGATGAACGGGATCATTATCAAACTGGAAAAGGTAATTTTCGTCAAGGAAGTGGCTTGCTAATACTGCCACAAAATATACCCACAGAAACAAATAAAGGATCACAGGAAAAATCAAGCATTCCTTTCATATTTTCCAGTTTTCATCACCAGCTTTGATATTGTGCTGTAGTGATGAAAAACTGGAAAATATTAAAGGAACGCTTAAATTTTCCTGTGATCCTTTATTTGTTTCTCTCAGTATATTATCCAGTATATCCGTATACTTCTGACAGTTTATAATTCCTTCTAAAACACTTAAGTTCCTGCACCATGCACAGAGATACAACCCGCTCACCATAACAGACACCTGCTACCGTTGTAATGGGCATACATATTGCGATCTCGGAAAAAAAGCGAGAGGAGGCAGCAATTATATGTTATCATGATCTAAATTAATAATGATAGTCACGTTCCTAAACATGTCGTGTGTCGTATACTATAGATGTCGTGTGCATTACGTCGTACAATGGCGAAGCTGAACGAACAAAGTCCGCATACATTTTAATTCAGTTAATCACGTTTGTAATCCAAAACACTTTAGACATGACTGGACGCATAACCCTCATTGAACACAGTATGCACATCAGTGTACTCGAAGAAAGACGATCGAAGGAGAAACATATACAGGCCTTACCTTTAGCTAGGTAAGAAAATTGTTTATGCATATCAAAATAAGTATTTCAGTTGAGGTCACTAGACCAGAGACGTAGGGTCTGTGTCTGAGCTAAAATAAAACTACCCGAAATTTGTTCATGTGTGCTTGTGTGTGTGAGAGAGAGAGAGAGAGTGAGAGAGAGAGAGAGAGTGTGTGTGTGTGTGTGTGTGTGTGTGTGCGTGTGCGTGCGTGCCAGTGTCCTTTGGTTTGTGTATATATGTGTGTGTTGGTGTCGGCGTGTATGCGTGTCTGTGTCTCTGTCTGTGGCTGATTGTATATTTCTTAACCGTTGTATGTTGGCTGGTGACCAATAGAATTATCCCACGTACACGCATCCTGATGACAAAATAGTCAAGTACGATTTAATGTTTGCCTGTCTGTATGTGCGTTCGTCTGCGTCTGTATTTGTGAGTATACAAGGGTGTGGGTGCGTGCGTGTGTATATGTGTTTATGTGCGCGTATATATTGAAACCATTGAAATCCGTTCAATGTATATATTTGTACCTTTGTCAATTGGAAGATCTTGCTTGTAAGACAGTTACCGCTGAGGCTATTCGTTCTGGTATGTAAACGCATTGTACTTCCCCACAGTTTGACAGATGGGGGTGTCCAACCCATATCACCCTCAACTGCAGCGTTAGGAGCCGATTTTCGAAGACCCATAAAAAATTTCATTGCTCTGTTCTGTATAGTCTTCACTGAAGTTTGGTTTCTGGTCCCTCATATAGCTGACCCGTACTCAATCGTAGGCCATACCATCGTGTCGTACAATACAATATTGCTACAATTGCAGACTGGACCTTGGTCCATTTGAATACAACAAATGTATATATATTCAAATATGAAAACAAAATATTACGGAAACATATATACAATTTTGAAGATACGATTTCTAAGTGACGTGGTGGAATAATATTCATGATATGTGTTTCTTCAGTGAACGTTCTATCACCAAGAAAATGCCAGCAACCAGAAGTCAAACTCGGAAGGCAGATGAGAAACACCCTCAGCCTCAACACGACCCTCAACCGCAAGCTCGGCTTCAGCCTTCAAAGCCATTCAACGTCAAAGAAGCTTATGTCATGCTGTTATCCGAGTTAAGAATTCGCAGCATGATAGGGTCCTATATGATGTACGACCAGTCAGACAGGTACAGCCAACTTGCGTTTTGGCTGCTCATAGTAGCTAGTATACTAATGGGCCTGGCTTCAGCCAGTCTAACCACGCTCATCCCCGTAGGTGACGGGTGGCTCCCTTACCTAGCGAAGACAATCATAGGAGCAATCACTGCCACGGCTGGCTCTTTCAAAGCTGGCAGCATCTTCCTTTTAGAGAAGTTTGAGAAGAAGCAAGAGCTCTTCAACAAGACAGGCGCGGAATGGCAGAAACTTGAGCTGAAGATCCGCCTGTTTCTTGACACAGCGGACGACACACTCACCAGGGAAGCATACCAAAAATTTGCAGAGGATTGTATTGAAGAACGGACAACCATATGCTGCCTTTCAAAACCAGAGCGAGACATCTACAGAAAATATAATGAAGAATCCAGTCATATTTTGGAATCATATCGGGAAAAGAAATCTGTAGTCGCAGAAATTCAAGCTGAACTTGACAGGCTGCAGAACCAGAGAGAAACATCCCGGGAGCGGAACAAGAAGAAGACAACATCTTGCTTCCAAAGATTTTCCGCCGTTTGGAAAAACATACTTTCATGCTTATGCGTATCAACGCTAATCCTTTTAATGTTTTGTTTTCTCATTTGGAAATTACTGATTACCTACCCTTCAGAATGAATGTTTGTTTGTCATTTATTCATTCGAGTCTGTGACCGGTAAATTCCAGCAGGACGATTGTTATTATCGAACTGTTCAAGATTGTGGAGCGAAGGCTACGATATAACACTTCATTATTTCATAATTTTAAACAATTTAATTTACATATGTTTACTGTTCTTTGAATTGTGGCGGTAGAGATTAACAGTTATATAATCAGATACAAACACGAGCCACAAAAGTAGCAAGGCTTCTTATAAATGTATAAAGGTTTTGACATATACTAGCCACATAAAGAAACTGTGCATTGTCAAAATATTATCCCAGTTGATAAGTACGATAACAATGTCAAAGGTACATATAAACTTTAATGGAGGGATCATGAGACCATAACAAGTCTGGAGAATTTCAACTGAAAAGTCAATCACAATGACGTCACGAGTCCACAAGCGGGACAGGGGTCAAACGACCAGGTCACAAGCTCAATAACGGGTATGTCCATCATCGGCATTGAGAACAGCAGTGCATCGACGACGCATATAGCCTATCAAACGTGCAAGGAAGGCTTGTGGGATGTCACGCCAGATTCTCTCAAGTTCTGTTGCAAGGTCAAGGACGTGATCTGGCGGATGAGGAAGACGGCGTAGACGTCGATCCATCTCGTCCCAAACATGCTCTATCGGGGAGAGATCCGGTGAATTTGCAGGCCATGGCAGTAAGTCAACGTTGTGGTGATGCAAGAAATCCATAGCAACCCTTGCCGTATGAGGGCGGGCATTTTCCTGTTGGAATGTTAACCCAGGGCCATGACGTTGCAGAAAAGGAATTGCCACAGGTCGAAGAATCTGATCCCTGTAGCCCACACCAGTTAAGTTGCCCTGAACAATCACCAAAGGAGTTCTTTGGCGTGCTGTTATTCCACCCCAAATCATCACGGAACCACCACCAAAGCGATTCCTCTCCAAGACACAGGCCTGTGCAAAACGTTCTCCATTGCGTCTATAGGCACGTTGACGTCCATCACTATGGGAAATGTTAAACCTGGACTCATCTGTAAAAACAACACTTCTCCACCAAAACAAGGGTCTGCGGACATGATTTCGGCACCACATTCGGCAAGCTTGTCGATGACGTTGTGTCAGGATAGGCCGTATGGCGGGACGTCGTGGTCTGATCCCGTGATGACGTAAACGTTGTCGAACTGTGTTGGGGTGGATACGGCGAAGTCCTGGGATGGTTCGGATGGTTTGAAACCTGTTGCGAAGATGGGTCACCCTTATCCATATGTCCTGTCTTGGCGTTGTTACACGTGGATGTTCAGAACGTGGCCGATGACGTCATTTGTGTTCTGGTAGCGTCTCACCAGTGCAGAAATGGTGTTCCGTTGGTAGTGGAAATGTGCAGCTACTTGTCGTTGAGACATTCCCCACACGGACCATCCCAATGGCCCCATGACGTTGTGCAGACGTGAGCCTTGGCATGCTATGCGTTTCAATAGCCGTTTAATTTTTGAACGATCGCAAGGGCAGGGTTGAGCTTTCCAAAGTGACAGTATTGTGTGGCATTCATTTGCTCTGTTTCTCTTTCCCGGAATGCACGTGCAACAACGTATTGCACGTCTCAAGGACGAACCCACTGACATCACGGAACGTTGCACGTGCATGCTTGTTGGATACATGTCACTCATCTCTGAGTATAAATCCTTATGTGTCTACACAGGTTTGATAAATTTAGATTTTAAATTTTTGTATGCACAGTTTCTTTATGTGCCTAGTATATATGTGTGTTTTATTGTATGCGGAAAATGCTGCATTAAAACAATGGATTATTTCGATACTTTGACACCAATATATACAAGAAAACTGACCCGACCTTACAGATGGTGAAAATACTTTCAGCAGTCATCTGAATCATTATTAATTCTTCTGGTTTATGCAGAAGCTCGATTTGATAGCCTAGGCGTTTTCCACATTATGATGCTTACACACATGTAAACGTTATCATTTCAAAATTTTAACAGCCATTGCTACAGTTTTCTGCAATACGTAAGTAAGAAACATAAAACCTGACATAAGCATGTATAATAAGACATATATGCTTGAAACATTACAGAAAGTCAATCGAGATATAATTGTTATTGCGACAAAATTGAAAATATTCAGCAAAACACAACAAGAACACACTCTGCTGTGGAATATACAGCAAGAGACAAAATCAATGTACCATTGTCTACACAATACAAATGCTTCAAACTGAAACAGCTTAAACGCAATCGAAAAAGATCGATACCGTTTCTCTGACTCCATCAACGGCAACGGCATGGTTCCCCAGATACCAAACACCATCCTGCAGAGAGAATGATCACAGGCTCAAAGCTTAAACGTAATTGTGTCCGATAAAACATGACATATCAGAAAATCAATGGTGATTATTTGTGTCAGTGGGACAATCTAAATGAAATGTTACGCCACACTATTTATTGAGCACTCTATTTCTTCCACAATGCAAACTGATTTCTGAGTACATTATCCGACGAGGCACTAAGCCTTTCATCCTTGCTAGGGTAAAAGGTATACTGACAATCCATTCCATGTATTGATGTCTGAATTACTAATGATGTAATTTATCCAGACAGAATTTCAATTAATTTACAATGACGAAGATGGTTCCTGGATGTTTATTATGGCAATGCTATTTTAAAGAGCTTTATAGGCTCTGTGATGAGACTTCAGGGGATGCAAAGCACTCATACTAGATTCTAAACTGATGGCTTCCTGAAGGAACGTTGACGGTGCCATTCAATTCACTGTCTGAGGAAATGACATGAAGCATGCAACGTTCAAGAAAAGGTCTTATCTAATAACTGACACCTGTCTTCAGTCTTCAGGCAATTATCGGGAAGTGGTAAAGGGTTGTGGTTGGATATTATAGGAATTAATTGGCTTGGTTTGTTGTTTAACGCCGCACTCAGCAATATTCAAGCTATCGGTCTGTAAATAACCGAGTCTGGACCAGACTATACAGTGTTCAACATTATGAGGATCGATCTACGCAATTGGGATACGATGACGTGTAGTTTGCGAGTACGGCTATCCGATCCCGTTAGTCGCTTCTTTTGACAAGCATGGGTTACTGAAGTCCAATGGTAATACGGATCTTCACAGGTTGATATTATATGAACGACTGACATGCTGTGTTTTACAATGTTGGTAATAGAATCAGACGATCCAGTGATTGATATCATGAACATCGATGTATGCAAAGGAGATACGGTGCATTTGGGGAGGGGTGGTGCCTATGGTTCCATTGGTCGTTGTGTGGCGGTGTTGGTGTGTGCTGCTGTTGGTCATGACGATGGTGACTATTATTGTCGTGGTAGTCTAGGGATGGTAACTATGGTTGACGTGGTCGTTGTTTGACGTTGTTGTGAATGTGTAGGATTGTTACTTATGGCGATGCTTACCATGATTGTGGTGGTTGTATAATCGTGAGGATGATGTACAATGGGTACAATGTGTAAAACCCATGTCTAGTGACCCCTCCGCGATATTGCTGGAATTTTACTAAAAGCGGAGTAAAACCATTGTCAGTCACTCAGTGACACCGCTTTCTGTTTCATATCCAGATCTATGCATAATGATTGTGACAAATCCTCCACCAGACTGTATGACAAGAGGGGTGACTTTCAACTGTCACATTCCAACATTCCAGTAATCAACATGGAAATTCCCTCAATGTTGAACAATAATCCAACAGGTCGAACTTGTGGCGTTTAGGTTTCGCAGTTTTTGAGATCGAGCATGCTTTTTTACTAGGATTTCAAGGGACGTCATACAGCTCTTGTAGTTTGCTCGAACAGGGATACAATTTTCAAGGCCTCATTACAACTTTAAAAATACTCTTTGGTGGACATGTGGAGGACGTTGCCGCGTGTCAAAACACATGTCCAATGCAATTCTCACTTGTACTGAACGTTCTTGTGTTTTTTCAGGCATTTTGCGAGCACCTGCAGTCATCATTTGTCACGGTGAATCATAAGCACACACTCATAATGTATCTGAACTCGTATAATTGACTCGCAGAGGTATTGGTGGCCGTGGAAAGGTTTTTGTCGCGTTTATTGACACCTTGACTTTAACAGAGGACAGGTGCTAGCGTAGAAATGGAATGGACCCTCACGATTGTCTGAAATTGCTTTATGTATAACTTCACACGTACGTATAGAAAAATAATGTTATCAATGTGAATAAATGCCAGCATTAAATGATGAAGGAATTAGTGCGTGTTCAATTTGTTGTTATGGTAACGGGCACTCCGGTACATGTTTTCTGTTTGCTCGGTTTTTTTTAAAGCCGCACCCAGCAATATTCCAGCTGTTCATAGTACAAAATAATGGAGTCATCACCAGACATCAGGATACATCAACCAAGTCAACGGATCTGATGACCCCATATCGTAATTCACCTCTTGCAGGGACGGGTCTTTGAAGATCAGTTCTAACGAGGATATTCACGTGTCCTGCATACACGTGTAAATGTATTCTATGCTCACCGTACGACGTACAATCCCACAGAACATATTTTATTCCTTCATGGTGTAAACTAAAGAATACTATGGTTTCCTCTACATTTAACTGCAAAACTCGTTCAAATGAGTGTTTATAAATGACTAATGTTAAGTATAAATAATAAATAAGTATAAAGGTTGTCCCGAGATCATATTCACTTATTTCTTATGTTGCACCAATACAAAGTCAACCGTAGATCAATAGTCTATTCCCTTGTTCACGACCAGAAATACTAAATTCGTTATTCTGTGCTTCTGACATTACGCACAAGAACCCAAATGAAATCTTATATAAGTACCCTTGAAACACTGAACACGCCAGCAATGACCTCTCGTTGGCGTTTCATGGATATATTGATCAAAACACACGACCCTGAAACACACTGACCCAAATCCGATTTCTCTTCGTACTGAATTTGATTTTCTCTGCTTAGTTCAGAATGTTATCCCGAGATA